TTCCCGATATTGACGGAGATACCGACTTAAGCCATAACGGCGTAACAGCAGTGCTGTCGAAGGCTGATTTAAAGTCAACGGAGAGGTGATGTGTGTCGATCATCCTTTCGCGTATGATTTGGCACATGGCTAATATCTGGTCCATGGATGATCAACCAGATCTAAAGCTACACTGATCAGGTCCAATAAGATTGTTTTGATTTGGTCCTTCACACATTACGCTCGAAAGGACCTATCGTCGGGAATACTTTTGTCTCTCCACGTTCAGCAAAGTAACTTATGCATGCCCTTTATTCCCCGCCGTATTTGAATTTCGGCCGGTAATCCATCGGTCGAACTTCTTCAAAGTCAGGTATCGGAGCGTCCTTGCCATCGCAATCAATTGGGGTTTCGGGTTCACTATCTCCGGGTGTTCCATTTTAACTGCCATTCAAAAAGCTGGATATCTGTTCCCTCCATATATTCAATATTCCCTGGGCGTGGATTACTAGATCACCTCTTTTTGGCCTAAAAAAGTCTGGTCCGGTCTTGAAACCTTCCGTAAGAAACCATATCTTTTCATAGAATTTTCGAGCATTTCCCTTGTCGGCCAGCTTCTCAAGCTCTTCATACTCATGCAACTCGGCCTCTTTCTTTTTTTGCATGCAGATGCGTCTTACCTCTTTCTTCAATTCTCGGTAAGTACCTCTTCCCACACGTAGGATGGTCGATCGCAAGGTTGCGATGTACGCAGGCGGTTTTCTCTCCACTGCAGCATGTAGTTTTCAGTCTTTTGAAGAAGCTTTACTATATATATTTGCTTGTACTGGAATCTAGTACTACATACTGTCATATTTGAACACCCTAGATAAACTCTTTGCCCTGGCGTTAAAGGCGCCAATCACGATTTTCACATCGTGAGGGGGGCAACGTTCATGAGTACGCTCCCGGAGCATAAAAATTTTTGGCCGCATAGTCCTTCTCTTCCGTAGTGCCGATATGTAAAAAAAATTCTTTTGATGCGGATTGTGGTGTCCTCTTTCACCGGGTGTATGCCAGTCGGCGACGGAGTCTTGTTCTTACCACAAATCTGAAGCCAAAGTTGCACTCCTTTTTATATCCGCAGCTTTACGTTGGAGTTGGTTTTTACTAGGTTGGTTTCTCACTAGGTGAATAAGTTTAAAGCTTTACACATTTATACAGCCGAACCTTTGGTGAACATTGCAGCTATACTTCAGCGAATCCTTAAACCGAATATGTCGGAGTACTCCTCACGTGTTGTTTACCGCAACTTATACAAAGATTGACGCGCGACGTGGACGCAAGAGTAGAAATTGAGTAACTGTAACTGCATACCCCGAAGTTTGACTACAGCTAATTTACCCCTAAAGACTAAACTGAATAACAGAAGAGTTCGGTTCCCAATTTGGCTCGTATTCAAAACTTATTTTAAGTCCGAAATTCCAGAACAGATTTGATTCCAAAAAAAAAAAAATGATGAAAGAAGAAAATATATATATATATAAATTTTTATGTAATATCGATATTTTAATACTTCTAATTTCAGACATCTAGTGACGGGAATCAGACTACGAGTACATTATCAGTCATTTTCGACAAAACCGATGCTGGGAAATATCTTATTTGCAAAGCATACAACCATGTTTCACAAACAAAGCCTCTAGAAGACCGATGGAAGCTTGATATCCTATGTAAGTTTAGTAAATTTTCATATGAAACTAATATTTCATATGAAAGCTAATTCCAAATAAAATAATATGAGATAAAGTTATCCCAATCACTATAGTATGATTATAATTATGGTGTTGGTTGAAATTTGTAAAATGCCTTTGTCTTAAAAAATAAGTGTATATGATTATATTCATTAATAACATAAAATATTGATATATAATCAGTAAGCAGCAGTTTTATGCTATCATCAAGAAATATTTGGTTGAAGTATTAGTATAAAGTAGTTCATTATTTTTGCATTAAGGCTGTGTGCCAATCGGGTGAAACTTGTAAATTTTGTTAGCCAACATTGAATTCTGAAATATTTCTTCGTGAGTTCGAGACTTTACCTAAAAATTTTGACGTTTGAATAGATGCTGTGAAGAAGCATAACAACATAACAATAAAAACATCATAATTCAAAAAACAACGAATGAATGGATACGCGAAAAAAAAATTAGTATAGAATAAGCATTCGTGTGAACATTTATTTTGCCATAAGAATTTCGAGCGACTCGCCAGTTGAAAAAAGAAATTACTAATTAACAGCAAGTCATATATTGAATGGATTGCTTCTGTCTACACCAATATCATTATTAACAAAGAAAAATATATTCTTTGGATTCTATTCATTTTCTAAGCAATACGCCAAAACTGTACCAGACTTTCTCAAACGTTTTTATTTTGCTTATGTCAAAATTTACAATGTTATTTGTCATAGCATAATGTAAATTTTTCCACGGTCATTTGACCGTATGAAAAAAGATACCGATTGCGACACAGCCTAAGATTAAGGCTTTATTTACCATGGTTAGAATTATCCGATTAATGTCACCGTTTTGTTCCATAACTTTTACCATTTTGAAGGTACTGTCGTCATGGTTCTCTCTTGGAAACTGTTATTTGGCAAAAAATATGAGTCATCCAATTTTGTTTCATTCTCCATAAACAGGAACGAACAGGGGGTAGTTATTTCGTGCGAGATCCTGATTACATGGTAGATGCATAAGAACTTTCCAAACAAGCTTTGGTGAAGTACTATCGATATATGTAGTCTGGTGTTGTCGTGATGAAATTTCCATCCCGTCGCCTGACTACGTTTGCTGGTTACCATCTTTGACATCGTAGTGATCCAATCTTCTCCTATTATCTTTTTTTCTAACGCCCTCTAGCGTAACCCTATGGGACTTATAAAGCGCGATATATCGCTCAGTAAAGCCACTATTGTTAAAAAACAATGTATTACTTCTTACTCCTTTTTTAATTTGTCACTCCACTTTTTGTATATGTAAGAAACTGGTCAGATTATTGGAGATGGCGTAGGTCGTGGGCTAAATACATTAAAAAAGCAACACCAAGAGGAATTTTTTAACGTTGTGGGGGATAACTTTAACTCGCCACGATGACCAGCTGCGGTATGCTATAGGGATGGGTGGGAAAAAACAGGAGGAAGGATCTCTGTCGGCACGAAAAAAGAGGGCAACTTCAGTGATTCTCTGGTGGTACCGTCCTAGCTCAAGTTATTTCAATTAATTGGTCAACTGCCTTGATTCCTCAAAGCCTGTCCTTGCCTCACTTGTCCTGGACAAATATAAGTATATATACACGAGTATCTGTTATGACATTTTCTATACACAAGATCAGGCTAATTCTCTCAAAAAGGTGTTTCCATTCTGCATCTGATTCTGATCCAAAAACTCTTTGTACTCATCCATAGAACGACTAAATTGGATCCTCAGCCGAACCATTCTTTTCAAGTTGCCACTCCACCACGCAACACGAAACTCCGTCAGCACAACTATACCGACGTCCTCACACAACCACGCTTCCACCTCCGAAACATACGTAAAAAACGTAAATCTTTTCATAACTTTGGGCGCTGGCTCATTGCTTCCGGTTATTTGGATTTTTGCTTTCTAGCATATATGTATGAATAATTTTGCATTCGTGCATATATGCAAGAATGCAATTCTCAAATGATCAGGGAAGTGATACGGCTAAAGTGTTGATTGTTTGCAATGGAATTTACCTTCGTAAGGTCCAGATCAGATATCTGACTATCGGATCTGTTTTGCGTCTTCCCATCCCTGCTCAATTTAGTTGAGTGTCTGTGCAGCGTCAGGTGGCTCCTATGGCATTGCGTAAAGATCACGTATTTTTGAAACGATCCGGTTCGAAAGACCATGTCTAAGCGTGTGGGGAAAAATGTTTGAATGTATTCAAGTTGAGTGCTTCGTTTTGCTGGCGAAATGTGTGGTTGTTGGTTGACTTCTATCCCAGAGCAAGACGTACATAGTAAACTCAAAAAAGAGTAGTCGTGCCAACAAAGTGTAAATACTGCAATAACAAACAGCGAAAATAAAAACAAAAAAGCTTCTCGCTTGAAAACGATATACGGTGCAATTGCTATGGTGCCACGATATATGTGCGGATCCTACCGAGATAGAGAAACTCTACAACAATAAAATTAAATAATAATAATATCAAAGAAGAAAAACATATGCAAATTCATCAGCTCATAACCCTAGAAACTTTTATGAAAAGTACGCATAACCGGAAACATCCAAGCACAGATCAAATATACATCTTCTGGTAAAAAAAAAACCATTAGTATAATTAACAAGTTTTACTTTGCTCCCTTAGATCAAAAATTATAAAAAAATTTAGATAACAAATTTAAATCAAAGTTTTTAATTGCGTATCCTTGCTGCAATGTGCGAAACAAGCCGATCTTAGCAACAAAAATTATGGATTTTTTAAATAAAATAATTAATATGTACATAGTTTTAGTAGTAACTGAATTCGAATATTTAATTTATTTACTTTCTTTTTTTGTTTTTTTAATATTAATATAATATATGTTTAAGCGTGCAACCCTGCTGCGTCGCAACAGCCTCGCCTATAGATGTCGCTGATACACTGGAAGATAACATGATAAACCATTTTGGTAGTTTTGAATCCCGTTAGCGATTCCATGTAGATTTCCCCTTCTGTGGAGTCTATAAAAGGCCAATGTTGCCTAACAAACCTTCTTCTTTTTTCCAAATCAATCGGCGTATCAGCGACATCAAGGTGAGTCTCTCCTATTTTTCTCTAACTATCTTTCATATATCTCTGTAAAATCATAATTTATATAACAAAAAATATAAAAGAAAATATATTAATAACCACTAACAAAAAATACATCCCTGGTGGCCACTGGGAACGAGTTGTGGATTTGATTTTGCCGATCCACAAAAGTTCCACAGTGAGTTAACTGTTTTTTTTCAAAAAAGTAAAATATATTTTGGAATTAGTAAAATATCACAAAAACTCGAGCCACAAAATTCCGAGGACATCACCAACCAAGAAGAGGATCAACCAGAAAATCGGACATATGGAGGTAAGTGATCTCTAAAATACACACGTATGTATATTTGCGTTGGGAAAGCCAAAAAAAAAAAAGAAGTGTAAAAAGAATACACATGTATGTTTATGTATATATCTATGCATATATAAATATATACATATAACCAAAAAGTAATTAAAAAAATAAAAGTGCATAAAAAGAAGAAAAAGTGAATAAAAGTGGTCGCGTCGGCATAAAAAAGCCGTTAGTGAAACGCGCCACTATAAAAGTGCATAAAAAGAAGAAAGAGTGGATAAAAGTGGTCGCGTCGGCATAAAAAAGCCGTTAGTGAAACGCGCCACTATAAAAGTTCATAAAAAGAAGATATGGTCGCGCCGGCATACGAAAAGCCTCGGTTGCACTGGCATTGAGTGGTGCAACAAGGCAAAGCGCCCTTCAAAGGAGGTAAGCATCGCAGCGGAAGAGCCAAGAGGCGCGTCAGTGTTGTTCGACGAAAACATTGTTTTAGAAGTAGCAAGACCTCCCTACCAACGGCCCAGCAAACCCTAAGCTAATAAGCAGCGTTAATGGTGAGTTTTTCAGTAATCTGATTTCTTAACATAAAATTGTGAGAATTTTCACATATATTTTGCGCTTCAGGTACTGCGAAAGTACCACAGGCAACTCCTGTTTATTTTAAATAATATTTTTTTTATACTAAATCGGTAGAATTCGGTTTTTACATCTAGCTGTTTAAAATGGCTAAGGTTAATAAATTTTCACGGGCCTGTGATGCACTGTTAGAGTTCGAAGAGTTGTATAACAACACTACAAGTGCAAATCATTCGGTTTTTTCACTAGAGATCCAAAAAGAAGAACTCAAGGCATTATGGATTAAAGTTAAGGAAACATATGAAGGAATTTCGCGGAATTTATCTGGAGGAGAATCAGATGCATCGGCCAGACTTTCTTCAAAATGTCGGTATCAGGATTGCTACGCAGCATATCTGGCGAATCCATTCATAACCTGACATTTGTGCAACAAAGTACGTCGACAGCGCATCCTGTATTCCGGGAACCTGAAGCGGCTCCGCGTTCGAGCATTCATCTCGCCGCGTGCGACACCGAAATTTTTTATGGTGACTATATGGCATGGCCATCTTTTCGGGATCTTTTTACAGCAATCTACATCAACAATTCCTAACCCCAGTTGAGAAACTATACTATATCAATCAAAAGACACGAGGAGAAGCTAAAGATATCGTAAAGAAATCTCCTCTAACCCATGATGGTTTTGCAACCGCATGACGAAACCGTTCTGACCGTTACGAAAATAAGAGAGTAATGGTAAATAGTCAACTGAAGACACTGTTCCATTTGCCTACCATGACAATTGAGCGTGGTAGTGACATAAAGAATTTACAACGAGCAGTCAACAATTGCATCTCAGTTCTCCAAATGTATGGGATCGAGATCAGCAATTTGGACGCTATTTTTGTTTCTAGTTTCTAGCAGACTGCCGGATACGACACTAGCACTTTGGGAACAAGGAATAGTGAACAAGGCCGAAATCCCGAGGTGGGAGGATTTAGACTGCTTCCTTTCAAGTAGATTCCAGACTCTTGAGACCGTATCTGATATTCAAAACACGCGAATAAATAAGGTAACCCAAAATCGTGCACCAGCACCTCTCTCAGGAAAAAGGGTATCGGCACACCATGCTCAGTATTCGCAGCCTGTATGCAGATTATGTCCAGAGGGATCCCATGTGCTCAAGCTTTGTCCAAAGTTCCTTGCCATGAATGGGGATAATCGTAACAAAACTGTGAGAAAATACAGTCTGTGCATGAACTGTTTGGCTTATTCTCATATTGCAAGGGATTGCAAGAGTACATTCAGTTGCATGAACTGTCATCAAAGGCATCATTCGTTGCTGCATAGAACGCCGTCTGGAAAAAGGCCAACGGAAACCCCCGTTGCTCCAACACCTGCGATCAGAGATGATAGGCAAACTCAACCCTCAACCACCTTCAACAGCGTAAATGCATTGCTCGCATCAAGCACGAAGAACGTGATCCTGGGTACAGCAATGGTGCACATTTGTCTCTCAGGAGTGAACTACGTGGCAAAGGCCCTTCTGGATTCGGGATCGAAAGGTACGTTTATAACCAAGCGGTTGCGAAAACGTAGGAATCTGCCAACTCAACCAGCGGACTTAAAGGTATGTGGAAAAAGCCCGACAACCCCGGCTAAAGTGCGAAAAATCGCCAAATTTGTTTTAGGTTCACCTCTCAACCCCCAGATTAGAATTGAGGCAAGAGGCCTGATTCTCCCACAACTGACAGGGAACCTCCCCCAGTTTTTAGTAGACCAAATTGATTTTTGTTTACTGCCCCCAATCGATCTAGCTGATGTCAATTTTAATAAAAGTCAACAGGTTGACTTGGTCATTGGTGCGGATTTGTATCCTGCCATAATAATGGGAAACGTATTAAAGAATGTCTTGGGCTCCCTCTTGGCACAGGAGACAGTCTTTAGTTGGATCCTGACAGGTCCAGTCCATCAGACCTCAAGGGTGAGTCCGAATTCATATGTTTCCATGTTCTCCGAAATCCGAATCCGAAGCTCTGTGCTCGCTCGGTTTAGGGAGCTTGAGCAAGTTCCAAGCAAAAAACCGGTCACTCCTGAGGAGGCATATTGCGAGCACTACTACCGGAGCACAGCAATAAGGAAGGATGAAGGACGATACATGGTGGCGCTACCTTTTAGACAAAAATTTCCAGAGGAGATTAATTTGGGATACTCCCGAACTAGTGCGATGCATCAATTCCTCCGAAATGAGGCAGCTATGTTGAAAAAGCCGGATTTTAGGGCTGAGTATCACCGAGTACTGCGAGAATACATAACCCTCGGTCATATGAAGCCAGTTGACAACAGAACCGGAAGAAGCACTCGAGGAACATACTACTTGCCACATCATGCAGTCATCACGAACAACGAAGGTACGCGTTGTATTTAGGACTACCTATTCAAAAAAAGACTTCTTGGAGATTGATGCTATCAGTGTAGCAAGAATGTTAGGAATTAGGTGAAATGCTGCCCATGATAGGTTTCATTTTAACGTACAAGAGGTACAAATCAAGCTGAGTTATACAAAGCGGGAAGTGGTATCATGTGTAGCAAAGCTGTTCGACCCTGCAGGTTGGTTAGGACCTATAGTGGTAGAAGCAAAAATTTTAATGCAGGATATATGGCTCTCCAAAAGAGAGTGGGATGAAAATTTACCGAGCGAAATTTATCTGCATTACATTGCAAAAATAAAAATTCTAAGATGGATTAGCTTTACGCCTTGGAACGACATCGAGTTTCATGGATTCTGCGATGCTTCCGAAAAAGCATATGCTGCTGCCCTATACGTAAGAGTACGGGAACGTACGTCAAATGAAAAACATGAGGTAAATCTGTTGGTAGGAAAAACCAAAGTGGCACCGGTAAAAACGATCTCCCTACCTCGTTTGGAATTATGTGGAGCGCTACTCCTCGCGGAATTAATCAATGCTCAATGAAGCCTCCCTGCTCCTGGACTACCTTCGTGGCAAACAGAGTGTCAAAGATCGATGAACTCGTCGGAGTGAATGACTGGATTCACATGATAACCCGGCCGATCTAGGTAGTCGCGGGGTATCCCCTCTCGAACTAGCGGAGAGTGGGCTCTGGTGGCAAAGTCCGAAGTGGTTGAAATTGGAACCGTCAGAATGGCCTCAGAAAAATGAGGAAGCGATTGAAACCGAGTTGGAACAGAAGATCATAAGAACTCATGCTTCACGTATTCAAGAGAGCGAAGACATTTTGGAGCGATTCTCTAATTTTTCCCGAGCATGTGCAGTCTTTCTGTGCAGTCATATGCCCATGAAGAAATTAACTGGCACTTTATTCCCCTAGGAGCACCTCATATGGGAGGATTATGTGAAACAGCAGTAAGCTCTTCACTTCAAGCTTCATTTTCGAAAGGTGTCAAAAACCATGCGCTTTACAATGGAAGAGTTCTCTGCCTTACTCGCAAAAATTGAAGCATGTCTGAATTCTCGACCAATCAGTCCACTTTCAGACAATCCCGAATCGACGGAACCTTTAACCCCAGGACACTAATTGGAACTCCACTTTTGGCTATTGCAGAACCCGAAATCAACGGAAGCCCACAGTCGATCATCAACCGTTGGCAAAAGTTGAAAGCACTTCACCAAGGATTCTGCCAACGTTGGATGGCAGAATATCTCAAAGAATTGCACAAAAGAGTAAAGTGGCAATTCCCTCAGCGACATATAGAGGTTGAGGATTTTGTAGTTGTCAAAGAGGACAACTTACCCCCCAATGAATGGCGACTTGGCAGAGTTGTTAAGGTTTTTTCAGGGCCAGACAATCGTGTTCGAGTCGTGGATATCTCTACGACGCGAGGCATAATCACGGGACCAGTTGTGAAATTGATTGTGCTTCCCGGCGTAAAACGAATTAATCTTTCTACTTCTAGTGATTTCCAACATGGTTCGTGCGAACAACAACAAAAAGGACAAAAAGATGGAGAAACCACAACATCAATGCCTGGTGTGTAATAACAATCACCGATTGTATACAACGTGCACGAAACCGTTCACAACTCTCTCGCCATAATGTAAGAGACGCTTGACAGCGAATAAAAGGGTCTGCTCGAAGCGTCCCGAGTCGATCTGTCCTTACGCCAACGGTGAAGGCAAGAGTAATGGTGAACGGGCGACTGCTATCGGTACGTGCGCTCATTGATCCAGGACAATCTTCATCGACGATAGCAAAGGTATTAGCCAGACGACTCCACGCAATAACACATGGTCAGCGAGATGAAGCCAGGTTAACACTTAAGGCCTGACGTGAACGCCTAGAGATACGAGCGAAGGTACTGCCCAACCTAATGAAGACTACGCCAGAGCATACATTGGATGCGCGAATCGTCGACGAATTTGATAACGTACGACTGGCAGACCCGATTTTCTACAGAGCAACTCCAGTCTCGTTAGTTCTGGGAGCAGATGTATATGCCGCTTTATTGCGACCAGGTTTGATGGCCGCTACTCCCACACGGCCAGCCGCACAGAACACGATGTTCGGATGTGTGCTATCAGGAGGCACGCCCTATTAAAGGTTAATGATGACGGCGACCCTAAGATAAAGGTTTTTTGTATTTCTTCTTTTATTAGTTTTAAGTAAAGTGAATTGTATTAAATTTTAAATAAAAAGATTGAAATGTAAATGACATAATTTGTACCATCCACTCATATGTATAAATATTTGGAATACTTCTGCTGCAGTGATGCTGCAAGGTGGGCGGCATGTTTATGCGTTTAACCCTGCTGCGTCGCAACAGCCTCGCCTATAGATGTCGCTGATACACTGGAAGATAACATGATAAACCATTTTGGTAGTTTTGAATCCCGTTAGAGATTCCATGTAGATTTCCCCTTCTTCTTCTTTTTTCCAAATCGATCGGCATATCAGCGACATCAAGGTGAGTCTCTCCTATTTTTCTCTAATTATCTTCCATATATCTCTGTAAAATCATAATTTATATAACATAAAAGATAAAAGAAAATATATTAATAACCACTAACAAAAAAGACTAGGTTCTTTTTGGTACACTATCTTGGAGAGGAAGTAGGTTTTTCTAATTTTGTTACAGATTGGATTACTTGTGAAAGTACGGCGCCTTCCCCGATCCCCGTTTTCCAGAATTCAGGAGGAATTCCGGACCCTGCCAACTCCGAAACGAACAATATATGTATGCATTTAATGTTTAAATTGAAAACTAAATTAATCTGAAATAAAAAATATTTAGTGAGATACAAATTTCTAGATAAATATGTTTAAAATTACTTTTGGGCAAAGTGTTGGCTTAAAGCGTTTCGGTGGCAGTCTCCTAGGTTAAATCTTCTTTCGTTCAGTGGAACTTTGCTCTTCAGTCATGGAACCAGCGTTAGGCAGCCAGGTGTCGGTAATATAATCTCTGGGAAATCAAAAAAATTGTGGATTACACAGCAATCTTTTATTTCCCTTTTCCAATGCCTGGCCTTCAATGTCCAAATGCATTTTCAACCATCCTGCGGCAGCGAGAAAGGCGGTAGTTAAACTCGCGTTGTGTATGTGCACAATAATAACTAATGGGATTTCCACATTGTTAAAAGATTTCCGTTGATCATAAAGCAACTTGCAACGCAATAGATTTGCTAGTAATAAGTAACTTTCATAAATTCAAGAGTCATTGCATCTTCCTGGACTGCCCACATTTATATATAGAAACCCATACCTACATACAAATTGAAATCTATTTTATTACTTTAGTAAGTTAAAGATCTGCCAACCTTGTGCCAACTAAATCCAACAGCACCATAGAATACCATCCTTTATAGTTGTAGTAGTCCACACCGTCCTTATTCTTTGGTATGACTTCAATATGACATCCATTTAATTTTATTTATATACATACATATGTATACACATTTATATTGATATAAATCTCAATATTATTGTGGAAATCTCATATTGTTAAAATCATTTACAATAGTCTGAGCCACCTTCTCAGTTAAAGGAAAATAATTAAGATAATTAGGTTTCAAAACATTCCAAGCCCCAACACAAAATTCTCTAACAATTCTGCATACGCTAGAATTGGACACACCAAACAAATTTGCAACCGTTCGGTACTCTACAGAGGAACCAAGTGCATGTAGCGCAGTAGCTAAACGCTTTTTAAGGATAATAGCTTTTCGGTAATTGGTATCTTTTTCCGATACCATTCAAAATATCACACAATTCAAAAAAGACCGCCTTTCCAAGCGCTACATCCTTGGCACTCCTTTTCCCAAAATAAGCTGGATCGTTCCTAAAGGACACCATTAAAATAATTACAATTATTAACTAATCATATGTGCATACCTTTCTCTAAATAAGTGATATGACTACTGTTGTAGAAGTATCATTTCCAGATTAAATAAATTCTATTTCACACAAGATTCAAAATCGCATAGTGAATTGAAAACGTGTCCCAGAACAAAGCACGATCGCTTCGTGAATGCATTGCAATTTTCAACTACTGTTCCTTAACACTTGATGAGGGTTTCAATATTACTTCAATAGCACAACTAGCTATATCTTTTGACAAGCTAGGGACCTTCGCAAGGGTTAGCTTGCTACTGTGAAGAATATTGGAAATATTCGATAACCGCCTCTTAACGGCCACTGAATGTTTCTTAACCAGGACTCGAATATGATCTTCCGATTGGCAGTACGTAATGCTAGGCGGCCTCCAGAAATAAGTACACAACTTATAAACGCAATGACTTTTGGATATTATGTGATATGCCTATCCTCATTTTGGTGATAAAAAATGGATCCGTGATTACATATATACGTACATTGGTTACGCATCTCAACAAAATTTCAAATAATTTTGTCCCTCTGTCATTTTCTTGTTATTTTTTATATTGCTTGATAATTATTTATGAAATATTGCATTTTTCTGTTTAGTCTTATATTTTGTTCTAATGGGTTTTGCAAACAAAGCTTGATAAGTGTGCGTCTTGCCAGAAAATTTTAAATTAGACCGTTGATTAAAAACGTTGCTCACTCCCGGTTCAGTCATAGCTATTTCCTCTCCAATGCAAGAAATAAGTCAAATAACTATTAAAAACAGGTTCGATGACTTTGGTTTAGCTGCGATTTACAGTCGCCACGCTTCGTAATAACAATAAAAATGTTAAATGACTTTTTCATAAATAAGCAAAACGAATGATATAAGCAATGGGTATGCCGTTGGCGTTCTTTACTGATAACCCCAAAAAGACGACAGATGTATAATGCGATCATTAATTCAAAAATTATACTCGATTTTATCCTCCCAAGATAAACAACTTAAAGGCCTACAGTCATCAAAAACGTTGTTAGTAATTTAGAATTTGTCGGAAGCAGTGCTAACATATCTTTTGATCACTCTCCAATAAGTGAGTTAACTCACTTTTATACAACAATAAACACATGGGAATTACAGCATTTAAATGCATTTAAGCCAAAATGCATTTAACGTCTGGTGGAAATAGGCTATAACAGTATGCTTATAACTGCAGAAAGTATAATAGCAACATAGCAGAAAACACGATCAAAATCGAAAACAATGATAACTAATAGCAGAATAAAGTTGTTGGTCAGATACAAACGACGCTCACAATGGCAAGCTCACAGATGGCCCGATGCAAATGGCGGCAACAATCTAAAATTCTCGACGAAGAAAAACCATTAAATATCTTCTAACGTCTCTGTCAAAAATGTCTCCTATTGGCTTTCCCAAAAAACGTGAAACGACTGAATAAGTGAATCATACACCTTACGAAGTAAGAAAGGCTTTCGAGCTCAGAGAGTATTAGTCTGACGTCTTTCTTTAAGTAGCGCAATCATTTCACAGGGTGTAACATTACACAATAATTACATAATGATACGTCCTATCGTATATTTGAATTTTACTTATCGGAGAGACGATTCTAAAACTTTATTTCAAAAATTTCTTGTGAAAGGGAATTGATGCGCTCTAACTTTTGCATATTTTTTTACCAATGAATGCCTCCTCTTTTTACACACACCATATTCCGATTTTTAACTATATACTAAGGATAATCAAATTCAAAGGGAAATTTCAATGACAGTTGTATGCAAATGTTTTCAATGAAATTTCTAGTCAAAGTGTTTAACTTTTTTTCAGATATTCCTGAAGTAGAAATTCGTCTTGGAACATCTTTAAAGCAAAATGCAATTAGAGAAGGAACTGATGTCTACTTTGATTGTCTGGTCAACGCTCATCCGCCAATCCATCGCGTGGACTGGCTTCACAACGTAAGTAATCAGCAATTTTCTTTCATAGTGGTTTTTAATATGATCCTGATAATTTAATTTGATACCTTTTATCTCTAAAACTTATTTGCTATTAGAAAAATATAAATCAAAGACCAATTGAAGATAACTTTCTAAACTCACTAGAAAATTACAAATGTTTTAATGGGGTTTTTCAAGCCGGGATTATAGGGGTCAGAATTCCTGCTGGAGGTTGTCGGTATTTAACTGAAAAAAGGAAGTTTCTACTTTCAGTAAAAATTGGTTTTTAAATTAATAATTATTCCCAAAATATCTTTTATATACAATTGCTGAAAACAAAAGATTAAAGTACCAAGCCAGAACTCTACTACCGAGGATACCACTGAATGAAAGAAAAAATTAAGCAGGAGTATTGGTATTTTAAAGGCTCATGGAATTGTCGGCTGCTGTTCCTTTTCGACGAATTTTAGACTGAGGGAGTGCGAGAGGCTGTAGTTGTGGCGGAAATAGTTGTTAACTCTGATCGTACTGGGAGTAAGGCTGCCAAGATTTGTTCTCACTTTTTTACTGTAAATGACACAAATTTTACAATACTTTACAAGTTTTTTTGCAAGATTTTTGATGCTAGAGACCCGATATTCCGATTTCAACAATCTCACCATCAATTGATTTCCACCATGGCAATTGGCAATCGTATGGTAAAATAGCAGGTAAAGACTCGCTGAAAGGCACGTTTGCCAACGCAAGTCTTCCTCCTCTCTCTCTCTCATTAAACCATTTCCATCAAGAAATGGGTTCAGAACGTTGATGAGGGCTGTGTGCGCTGATATGCTTTCGCGTAGCCACATTTCTGAGCGATCATCGTCGACCACTTTTTCGCTTGCTCAAATATCTTCCGAAGTAATATCCGGATAATTCTCCTTCAGTGTTTTATACTGCCTTGGTGAGTAGAACCGGCTAATCCTTTGGATTGTAAAACCAGCAAATTATGACGACAACTCGCAATGCTCGGAAAAATCCAGAATGTTTGAAATATGGTCACCTGCTGCTTCAGTGTTCAGATGCAGCTCTTTTTCATGACCTGACCTTCGCCTAGTGGTTTTGCTAACTAGTTAAGGTTCTACTTAGCTCCTCAATTTCTACTACTCTGAATAAATGATAGTAGAGCACATCGATTTGTATATCACCGGTTAAATGATTTCAAAGTAAAGCATAAATCAGTTTCAACTTTACTATACAAGTTGCATAAGTACTGTGCTATGACTTGTAATTACATGTTTAGTTTGCCACTTCATACGTTCAAACTGCTCTATTGTTTAGTGTGTAAACATGCCGGTGGAATTACAGAGTGATAAACAAAATATTTTCCTAATTGCATTGCCTAGCTATCAAATGAGTAGTGCAAAATTACCCCTAAGTGGCAAGTTCTTTAAATTTTATTTTACAAGATTCGCGAGGTTAAACTGACTGTTAGCGAAAGTTCAGATCTTTACCACATATGGGGAGAAGGCAAGAATTCTTAAAAGGGCATTTCTTAACTGCATGAAAAAACTTGTTAAATTATATCATGTTTGGAGAGAGTTGCAAAAATATTTGTAAACAAAACTCAGGTTACTTTCAGGAACTGTGAGAACTATGTTGCCTGAAATCAATTTCGTTTATTGACGTTTACACTAACGTTTTGAGGGCCTTCTTGTACGTTAGACCGTTAGGCCGTTAGTGTGGGTCTTGCTGATCAGTGGGCCGTTGATATAGGCCTTGTTGTACGGTGGGAGTTGTTGTGGACCTTCTTGCTTAGAAGCACTGTCGCCAGTGTCCTAACTATTATTGAATTTGGGATTGGGCTTTGTGTTATGGCACTACCTGAATGGCGCTAAAACCCCGGGGTCACTTCATTTTTAATGTGGGGCGGTATTCGCTTACGCACTTCCAATGCTGCCAACACTGGTTTATACAGCTGACGCACGTTTCGTGTATTGTATCACTGTCAAACATCTTCAGTTTGGTTTATAATTTAAAATGAAGCATAATTCGTTAGCGCTTGCAAATTATTGAATTTTATTATCAAAATGCGTGCTTTGTTAAGAAAGTTCATCATGAGCTTCTTCCATTCAGCGACGAAGCTCATTTTTGGCTTAATGGGTGCGTAAATAAACAGAAATGCCGATTTTGGAGTGAAGATCAGCCAGAAGCATTGCAGGAGCTATCAATGCATCCGGAAAAAGTCACAGTTTGGTGCGGTTTATGTGTTGATGACATCATTGAACCGTACTTCTTTAAAGATGATGCGAACCGCTACGTAACTGTGAATGGTGAGCGCAACCGGTGCGATTTAACGGCTTTAGGCTATTTTGTGTAGGGTATGTTAAATCTAATGTCTATACAGACAAGCCCGCTTCAATTGACGCATGTGAGAACAACATTGAAGCATTTATTCGTAAGGTCCTGGCCAAAATGTTAGAAAGAGTATGACAAAATTGGACTAAGCGAATAAGAATAATCTACAAACATTAAAATATATGGACCTTACTATCGATTTGAAATAAGATTTCATGCGTTTCTCTGAATTTTATGTGTTTTTTTTTTTTGAAAAACTTTCCTGTAGCACTTAAAAAATAACACCAGAATAGCACCATCCATTAACTCACTTAACAAGAATGTCGGCGAACGAAATACGGGTGCATATTAACGATGGGTACGTTGAGGACGCCAGTTGCCGAAATAGTCAATAAAATAATGGAGACCCAAGATTTGGCGCATTTTGGACACATGTCCTCCATCAATCACAACATGATCGATTTGGTTGAGAGGTTTTCGATCTGAAGACAGCCAAATAGTTTGGTGAATTTTTTGTGCTAGAATCTGATGCTAGAGACAATCAAATTTCAGGCCCCGGCGAAGTCGATCAGCCTCAGCCTATTTGGGGATGTTTCGTCGTGGAGACTGAATTTTCCGACTGTTGTATCAAAAATACTCTCTTTGCCAACTCTAGCGTTGAAATCGCCAAGCACAATTTTTCCTTTGTGACGGGGGCGGCACTCATAAGTGTGCTCGAAGCACTCGTAAAGGCATCTTCGTCAGCGTGCCAGTACTCGTCTACGGAGACTCGCTACCACATCGAAACCAACACCAAATTTGCGCTCCTTTATATGACCAGCGTAGTAAATTTCACAAGAACGCACCTTCTTCCGTCCTTGTCCCGCCCATCGCATCTATTGGACGACGGTGATGTCAGCCTTTAATTTTATGAGGACAGCAACCAGCTGGGCAGCGCATGGGATTCGCATTCTCACTATAGTTCACGTTCAAATGGATGTTTATTGGCTAATCAGGGAATACTTGGTCTAAGAGCAGAAGTCGTGAGCTGCTGGAACCATATGCAAAAGAATCGCTTCTGGCCTCTCCCAGGTGAATTACATGCGTGAACATCTACACATGGCCCCATCTCCCACCAGCATTAATGCTGTAAATTTCAATGCATGCACTCAGATAAGGCTTCAGAATCAAGAAGAAATGTGATGGCGAAATCTTTTCTATTTTATAAATACATCCTTGAAGCCAAACTCTGTCAAATGCTTGTTGAACGTCATAAAAAGCTGCAGAACGGTATTTTCTTTCATCCATCGCATATGTTATTTAAAAAAAAACCTGAAAACCATTTTTTTTTAGGATATTGTTATTCTTAATTACAGAAAAATTTCTTTGTAAAAATCTCCTTTCGAATATTTTGCCAAATGTAACCAGCACACTAATAGAAGCTAAGACTTCACACAACTTTCAGGTTTATTTCGGTAAGGTACCATGACTAAAATAGCACATTTCCACTAGGTTGGATAGTGGTTCGTATAGAGAATATCCTTGTATATCGCATTTAGATATTGGACTGCTTTCCCAAAGGAGCTTTAATAACTTTCCTATCCATACAGTCATATCCGGGCGATTTGCATTCATTTAATCTAACAATAGATATCCTGCTGATTGGTATGTCCATTATGCGGATTCAAGAAGCTTTAGTATTTCTGTGTCGTCGCTGTTCGTATAAGGAGATTTAGGTTGAAAAGGTTTTTTGCTATAACTCATTTGAGTATCTTGCAGCGACATTGCTTTTGGTTGGTCGCTTAAGGCACGTGGTAGCTCTACACAGTCAATGCCCATTCTTTTTTTGTTGGTACAAAATTTTTGATGAACGTACTGAAATACTGACTTTAGTTGTTTCGTTGTTCTATTAATGGCTCTTGGAAATGTTCATTATAAGCGAGCTTCTCCATTTTTAATACAGACAGATATGCGGCCGCATGGATTTGATTTGTAAATGTGTCTATAGCTGCATTCAGTTCAATACCCGTTTCTTATAGCAATTTAAATCTATATGCTTCCCAATCCAATGCTGGAAGAATTCAAGGTCAGTTTCTGAGGTGAGGATATTATTGCTTTTGGACATATGGTGACCATTTTCATTGTATATTACAATTACAGATGAGTCATCGGAGCTAAGGACATTACTGCTCTCAATACTTCACTTGCGACAAAGTAATGGAGAGTATACCACGAAGTTAAAAATATCAGGAGTTTTTCCTGTTGACAAAATGTAATATTTTTTTTAATTATACTACATCGTTGAAGCTCTTTTACTTTGGGGTCAATGATCCTAGAGCCCCACACAGGGTGTTGTGCATAAACTTTTCCGAATTAAGCTAAAATCCCCATTTGTCTAGCCAAGACTGCAAAATCTCAAGTTGACTTTTCAGCAAAGAGAAATCTTCTACAGAATACTCGCTACAAGCGATAAAAGTTGCATAATCAACAAAATTCGTAAATTCTCCCGCTTCTAATGTAAGCATCCGATTTGAAAATAGTGCGGCACGGGTACTGCATCAAATACTTTCAAAGCTGGAGTGCATTCGGACGATATGACTTAGATAGCGTAGCCGCTGTCTCTTCATTCGCTGGACTATGTCAATATCATCATATAGCTTGTACAACTCATCGTTCAGCGTCTACGGTATCGTTTGCAAAACTTT